CCTGGGTTGCAGACTGGTCCCCTGCAGGCCAGTTCCCAGCAGGGGACGCACGAAAGGCAACCATACATTGATGTTTCTCTTTCTCTCTCCTTCCCCTCTAAAGATAAATAAATAAATAAAATCTTAATTAAAAAGTTTAAAATAATACATCATTTTTCTCTTACTGCTATCAAGGTGTTCTCTTTGGCTTTGGCTTTTGGCAGTTTGTCCATGATGTGTCTAGGTGTGGCTCTCATTGTGTGTAGCAAAATTGGTATTTGTTGAGGTTCTTGGATCTATAGGTTAATGTTTCTCATCAAATTTGGGAAGTTTTAAACCACTGTGTCTTTTAAGATTATTTTTGGTTCTTATTCTCCTTCTGGGCCTCTTATAACATGCTTTTAGGACTCTTCATATTGTCTCACAGGATTTCGAGACTTCAGTTGTCTTGAATCTTTTTCTGTCTTTTAGCTTGGATATCCTCTGTTGATTTATTTTTATGTCTGTGACTATTTATTTTGCCATTTTAGTTCGCAGGCCGGTGCTCAATGCACTGAGCCACACCAGCCAGGGCTATTTTGCTGTTTTAAATCTGCTGGTGAGCTCATCATACCAGTTTTTCATTTTGATTATTGTATTTTCAAATTCTATAATTTGTGTTTGTTTTGCTTTTTAGTTTCTATTACTTTACTGAGACTCCATATTTGTTGACTCACTGTCATCTTATTTTCCTTTAGTTATTTCAACTTATTTGTAATTGCTGCTTTGAATTCTCTGCGTGCAAAGTCTAATATCCGAGCCCTTCAGGATAAGTTTCAATTGACTTTATTTCTCCTGATTGTCGGTCACACTTTCCTGTTTCTTTATGTATCTAATAGCATGTAATTGAAAACTAAACATTTCAGATACTATATTGTAGCAAATCTGGATTTTGTTCTATTTTTCTGATTCTATTTTTTGTTTCTCTTTTTCTATTTAAAAAAATTCTGATTTGTCCATACTTAAATTGTGGTTTCTTTATCCTCTGCTGTGTGTAGCTACTGATGTTTCTGCTTAATTTTTCTATCCTTGTCTTTTTAGTTTAACCTCCCTTCCTTGGGGCTACACTTTTGTGTAGCTTACCGGTTCACACAGTAATTTGGGCTGAAGTTGTACCTTACAGGTTGAGCCCATAAGGCTTCCATCCTCTGATGAATCTGTAGAACTTACTCAAAGTTACAGTAGTTCTCACATCTGTCTGGGCTTTTTCCTGAGTATATGTAAGTTTCCCAGTCAGCCAGGGATGTGTGGTGAACTTATCATAAGCCCTTCTATATCTTTGTTTTCCAGATTCTGTCTGTTAAATTTCTAGCCGATCTGCAGTTTGCCCCAACCTGGACTGCGTTAGGGTAGCCTCACTTTGGTTTTCCCCCTAGCCATTTGTACCTGACTTGCCATGCATTGCCGCCCCTGCCCTCAGGTCATATTATAATTAATGTGTCATAAAATGTACCATTATTAAGTGCTTAATTCCCTGGCGTGTAGTATGTGCACAAATCATTGTGCGTAAAAAAATGGTGAAAGCTAAATAAGGCCACCATCTAATTCCAGAACACTTTCATCTCCCCAGAAGAAACTCTACTCATTATCTCTTTTGATATTTGAAATATGGTGTTTTCAGAACTTTTTAGATCCAGGACATTTTTCATTAATTTGCCAACTGTTTCTTGAGCCCTTCCAGTTTGATCAACCCTTCAGCTTACTTTTTATTTCTTTATTTCTCTTCCATAAGTTATTTTATACATATCTTTTCTCTCTCGGACTTGTCTTCTACATCTGAGTATCCTTTATCATACTCATCTCTGTCATTTTCTCAAAATACTAAAAAATTGCATAAACCTGTGTTTTTCTTTAATTTATAAATTTGATTTCCATACTGAGATTTGCTGCCTCCATTACCTTTGCTAGGACTTCTAAAAGTTGGCAGTCATGTTCTCTATTTCCTTAAAGCAATCTCTTGCTCTCAAATTACTCTTTTCATATATTCAATAACCTTTTGAATATCAATGAAAATAATTACAGTTATACGCTGTTTTCTTTTCTAGAATTAGAAAGCTTGGTTTTTTTAAAAAAAATTTTCCCTTTTTGCCAGTATTCTAGTATTTATGTTTTAATTATATTTCTTGACTTCTAAAAGTGTTTAATTGTGAAAAATTTCAAGCATTTACAAAAGTAGAGTGAATAGTATAATAAACCCTGTCATTCCCATTTTATAGACTCGGCAATTACCACCTCATGGACAACCTCATTTCCTTTCATCTCTTACCATTTTCCTCCTCTGAACAATTATTTTGAAGCAAATCCTAGACATCATGTTTCCTTCATAAATATCTCAGTATACATCTGCTAAATTGACTTCCATTTAAAAACATGATCATAATGTCATTATTACACCTACGTTTTTAATTCTTTATGATCATTATTACATTGGTGTGTTCATAGGTTCTTCCTATACCAGATTGTCTTCATAAATCAAAACCAGTGCTGGCATAGTTCAGTTCTTTGGGATCAAAAATGACTTGTTTAGAGATAGTTGTTCTGAGAAACTCAGTATTTGTATTAACATGAAAGACTATCCAAATGATATTTTTAAGTAAAAACAAGTTGTGAAACAGTGTATATGACTGATTACACACTTGCTTTGGAAAATTATTAGTGTTCACAAACTTAAGGAAATCTGAGGGAAGGAAAGTAGGTCTCTCTGAAGACTGGATTGCAAACCATGTTTAATTTCTGTTTTATAATTGTGTTTTTATTTTTATTTTACAATGGACATGTAACACTTTTTAAACAAAATTATGGTAAAGGTGAAAGAAAATATCAATCTAGTGAGAAAATGGGCAATAGATATTTTACCAAAGAAGGTTTTAGAAGGGAAATAAGTACATGGAAAAATATGTAGTGTCATTAGCCATTAGGTAAATGCTAGTTATAACTTTAGTGAGATGTCAGTGCACCCCTTTAGAGTAACTAAAATAAGCTGTAGTGAAAATATTGTACCAAATGCTGGGAAGAATGTAGGGAAACTGTCCCTCGTGCACTGCGAGTGGGAATGTAAAATGGTTCTGCCACTCCAGAGAGTTTTTTGGCAGTTTTGTATACAATGAAGCATGCATTTAATCATAGGACCCTTGCAGTCACATTCTTGGTATTTTTCCCAGAGAAATGAACATTCAAATGCACACAAAAACTGAGACACAAATGTTCATAGCATCTTTATTTGTAATAGCAAAAAAAAAAAAAAAATGGAAACAACCAGAATGTCTTTCAGCAGGTGAATGGTTAAACAAACTCTGGTACCCCCATACAATGCAATTCTGCCCAGCATAAAAACAAATAAGCTATTGATACACACAACACCCTGGGTGGGTCTCATGGTCGTTATGCTTAGTGAACAGTGTCATTCTCAAAGGTTGCGTGATGATGTTCTACTCATACAGGATTCTCAGAATGACAAAACTATACAGAGAGAACACAGATGAGGGAAGGGGAAGGAGCATGACTATGATGGGGTAACATGAAATAGTTGCTTTATAGTGATATGGAGCAGTTTCGTGACTGATTGTGGTAGGAGCTACACAGACTTACATATGAGATAAAATTTCATGGGACCGCATACATGCAAATCAGTGTATGCAGAACAAAATGGTAAAAACTGAAAAGGGCCCTGACTGGTGTGGCTCAGTGAGTTAGGCATCATCCCACAAACGGAAACATCACTGGTTTGATTCCTAGTCAGGGCACAAGCCTGTGCGTGGGCCAGGTCCCAGGTTGAGGGTGTGCAAGAGGCAACCAATCCATGTTTCTCTCATGCATAGGTATTTCTCTCCCTCTCTCTTCCTCTCCCTTCCACTTTCTCTAAAAATGAAGAAATGAAATCTTCAGAGAAGAAGCTAAACTAAATAAGGTCTGTCTAGTTAACAAGATTGCACCAATATTGGTTCTGTAATGAGATCTATATACAAATTTTGCAACTTCCTTTGATTTTATAATTATTTCAAAATAAATAGAAAATAAAAGAATTTTTCATTGGAGGTAAATGAAACTAAATATGTTTCTTTTACTAGCCTGATCTGGTAATACATGTTGTGGATCTCAAAAAAGGGTTTATAAAATATGCAGAATGGATTTAGTGTTTTTAATTGTGGAACCTTCTTCACCCTCTCATGACCTTTCAAGGAACTTGTGTTCCTGAGAAATATTCGTTCCCTGGTGACGCTGGCCACAGAGAAGAGTCCAGATTCTGCTTCTTAACTTAAAAGGCAGTTCACACTTGGAATCTATGTGTCTGTAACCTGCACTTAGCATCTTCTGTCCCTCTTAAACCTAGTCACCCTCCCCAGTCCCAGATCCCTGATTGTCCCCTGCATACCACTGCCTCTGCCTGGAGTGTCACTCATTTTTCTGCCCTGGTGCCTGTGCCTGGCACATTGCTTCTTCAGGTATCAGCTTCCTCTGTAAACTTTGCTCGACTCCCTGGGCATATTAAGACATAGTTTTGCTTTGTTTACGGCACCATTAGAGAGCTGACTGCAAGGGTACATTTGTCTGCATGAGTCTTTCCATCTCTGCATGTTCAGCATCCTCAACAGTGCCGCCCTTCTGTTGAGTACCGCAGTTTCTTCCTTCAGCTAGGAGGGGCAGGTGTAGTTCAAAGGGGTTTGTATTGACCCTCTGTAGACTATACCCTAATAATGATGATAGAAAACAGTGATCATTTTGATGAATGAAGTACCTCATTTTAAGGAATACAGTGATTTTTATTAATTTGTAGTTGTTGTTTTTAATTTAATTTTTAATCCTTTCAGTATTTTTGTTATTTTTGTTGGTAATGTTAAAAAGAAAAGGGGCGGACCAGGTGGAGCTTTTTGGTGCTGATAGCTGTGAGTGTGCTCCTGAAGTACTTATTTGCGTTCCCGATCCCTTTCATGTAGCTCTGTGTAGGCAAATGTGATCCACAAGTCTTTTGTCTCTTTCCAAAGGCATGCCATTTATCAGCAGGACAAGGAAAATTTTCAGGATGAGTGCACTAAGCTTCTGGTTGGCAATATTGTTATAACTCGATACAACAACCGTACCTATCGTATTGATGATGTGGATTGGAATAAGACTCCAAAAGATACCTTCACCTTGTCTGATGGGAAGGAGGTCACATTCTTGGAATATTACAGGTGGAGAGAAGAAATTGCGCTTGGCTGGGTGGGGTGGGGGGACACAGACTACCATTCTGCATCAAGATAACTGAGTTCCATAGAGGTATAAAATGGGACACTTAAAATAATTGGGTTGGCAGTGTGCCTAAGAATTAATGAGATTGGACCTCAGTATGCCACCCGTACAGTTTCATTACTTTTAGTACTTTTGGAAGTTAATTCATGAATTATTCTCAGGACTTTTGAATTCTGTTTCCTCTGCTGGTTTGGTTAGAAGTGTGGTCAGAGAGATTAAATGCAAATCATTAATCATTTGACTATCATTTTACCTTTCTAGTTGCCTAAACCCTTTAGCCTGATGCAGTTTTAAACAAATTTTTTTCTTGACCATTAGCCTATTCCTCCTTTATTTAATTGCAGCAGTAATTTGAGCCTGCTTTTTCCAGTTATAAATATGCTGTGATGAGTTTAAGATGGCCCTTGACAAGGATATTATGAAAATTTGTACTTCAGACCTGGTTAAAAGACTCAGACTATGTTGCTATAAGCGTAGTGATAGTGATGCTGATCCTGAAATTTTTCCTGCCTCTGTCTTACTGTAGCAAAAACTATGGGATCACAATTAAGGAAGAGGAGCAGCCACTGCTGATCCACAGACCCAGTGAGAGACAAAATAGCCAGGGGATGGTGAGTTGGGGGAGTCCATCAACCTTCTTCATGGCCTTGGGGGCCAAGCAGCAATGATTAGAGCATAGCTGGAGACACTGTTGCAGAGTTTGTTCTAGCTGGAGGTGCCACCTCTGTCGGGTTTGCTTTTGAGGTCTCCATAATGAGCAAAACAGTCATGTGAACGATTAGGTTAAGGAATCACGAGGATTTTCTGCTGAAGAAGATCAAAACAGTGGGTTCATTAGGGAAGTTTTGGCCATTTTAAGAGGTCTGGGGCTAGAGGGGAAGTGCTTTGACACCTGACTCTTCTGTCTTAAGTGTGAACTCGAGAGATTGACAGGGTAAGATAAGGTAGATGCACCAGCCTGATAGGATGTCAGGAGGCTCAAGAGAGACAGAATTTTTTTTCTAGTTCGTTCTTTCCTTTTGACAATTTCAATATTTCCCCTTTATCTAAGACAACAGCTATAAGTGTGACTGAGGGGAAAGAGGTAAAATACTTGCAGCGATTTGCTGCCCTCCAGGGTTTTCTGTTCCCTAGTTGGCCAGTGATAGCCCTGCTGGGCCAGCCCTGGTCATGGCATTTCCTATACAGGGCAGGGGAGCAGAATCCTCCTTTACTGCCTTATTTTCCCTTCCTCGATCTCTCTTCAAAGCTGCTAAAAGGTGAAATCCTGCTGCTGCCTGAGCTCTCCTTCATGACTGGGATCCCTGAGAAGATGAAAAAGGACTACAGGGCCATGAAGGTGAGAAATGCCTGCTTTGAGCAGGAGGCCTTTTCAACAGCAGATTGAGCTAGACCCGTACCAGGCATACGTCTTTACCTGGGGAAGTCCATCCTCCCAAGCTCCAGTTTTCTTTTCTCTAAACATGGTCCATGTCCCTTCCCCCATGCTGAAAAAGCCAGTCTGAGCTTCTTTTTGAAGGATGTTAGAACAGTAGGGTGACTGGATTGTAAGGTAAAAGGAAACAAATAATTCTCCCTTACCAATCCAGTGGATGACTGCAAAGTGATTATTTGATCATAAATGAGATTCTTTGAGAGCACTGAATTGTTTTGAACATTTCTATAAGTCCAGTTTATTTGAAGAGATGGAGGAGATGATGTAGGAGAAAGTCAACAAGGCAGAGGATGAGGTAAAAGGACAGAAGTTGATCTTATGGGCCTGGGGTATCCTGGAAGTTTTAGGCTCAGTATGTGTAGGAAATAGCTGAGGAGGAGATGAGTCCAGACGCTGAGTGCTGCACCTGCACACTGTCTGTGGCTGCTGGCTTGCTCCATGCACGAGACCCACTGCTGCCTCAGTCCTCCGGCTCTTGTCCGTCTAATCCTTAGACCATGCTGTCCTCAGATGCCACACAGGATTGTTAGTAACATCATAAAGGGCTGGACATGACATGGTGCTTCAAATTCCTGTAAGAGATTTCTTTCATGTGTACCTTCTGATACTTCTGCTTTTAATCTGTGGGTCAAGGGTCCTTCCTTACAACTCCCAGTTGCCTAATGACTTTATGACCACAGAGCTATGTGCATAGCTTCGTAGACTCACCTGGACTGCCTCTCAGGGAGTAACAGCTGTGTGATTGGTTACTCCCAGAAGAACAGATAAATAAACACAGAATTCATGTAATTTGATTCAGAATCTTCTCATACACTTCTTACACATTTGTTAGATATTTATTCAGCAATAAATATTTGGAAAGCACCTGTTACTGGCTAACCTCCGGACAAAAAAAGTGACGTTAAGTGACTGCTGCAATATGGCATAAAGTATAAGACTGGATGTGGCTTTCCATTCTGTTATGTTTCCCAGATATTAAATAGGTAAAATCACACCCCCTTTGCTCTTGTTTCATAGAATCTTGTAGGAATTTTAAATTCAGAACATGGCATTGTAGAAGAGGTAAGACGTAGATGTCATGAGAGAGAGAGAAATAAAAACATTGAAAATTCTTTTATGATTAAAATTTTAATCTTATACCTTATTAACATTACCAAGAGATATTTATTAAAGTTCTTAGAGATACTTGAAAATTTCTGTAGATTTCAATGGAATTTCTTATGAAAACATTGAAGCTTCTGGTCAAGTGGAGGTGTAGGTAAACATGCTTCTCCTCCTCACACAATTAACAGCAAAATTACAACTAGACTGTAAAACAGATATCAGCCAGATTCGTCAGAAAATCGAGCTGTATGGAAGTCCAACAATCAAGGATTTAAAGAAGCCACATTCATTCAGACAGGCGGGGGCGGAGACACAAGGAGAGGCACAGAGATGTGGAACAGGTGGTCCCACATTCACATATGGTGGATGAAAATTGGGAGGGATATCTTGGGAGTGAGGGATCCCAGCCCCAGATTAGACCACCAGTCCAGGTTTCCAGTGCCAGGAAGATAAATCCCCATCTGGCTATAAAAACCAGTAGGGGTTGGGAAACTGCACAAATAGCACAAGAAACTGCACCATTTTCAGGAGACTCCTCTTAAAGGGCCCACAAGGATCTTGGGACTTACGCAGACCCAACCCTTCTGGGATTCAGCGCCAGAGCAATAGCTGGGAGGGCACCAGTGGCATACCAGTGGAGAAATTGAAGTAGCTGGCAACAGGTTGAGCACCAGGGACAGCTTCCTCCCAAGCAAAAATCCAGAGGCCAGGCAGCAGCATTGTCTCCTCTCTGCCCCCCTCTATGTAGAGCCACAGAGCAGTGACATGGGTTGCCCCACCCTGGCAATTACCTAAGGCTCTGCCCCACAAAACTTCCAGGTGTACTTCTATAATAGGCCATGCCACTAAGACAGGGAGTCAGAGCACCTGTACCTAATACACAGAAACACAGGGAGGTTGCCAAATTGAGGAGACAAGGAAATATGGCCCAAATGAATGAACAGAACAAAACTCCAGAAAGAGAACTAAACAAAATGGAGATAAGCAACCTATCAGATGCAGAGTTCAAAACACTGGTTATCAGGATGCTCAAATAACTCACTAGGTACAGCAACAGCATAAAAAATGACCAAGGCAGAAATGAATATTACATTAAGTGAAATAAAAATCTACAGGGAACCAACGGTGGAGGGGATGAAGCCAAGAATCAAATCAACAATTTGTAGCACAAGGAAGAAAAAAGCATTTAATCAGAATAGTAAGAAGAAAAAAAGAATTCAAAAAATGAGGATAGACTAAGGAGCCTCTGGAACATCTTCAAACATACCAACATCCAAATCATAGGGGTGCCAGAAGGAAAAGAGGAAGAACAAGAAATTGAAAACTTACTTGAAAAACTAGTGTAAGAAAACTTTTGTAATTTGGTAAAGGAAATAGACATACAACTCCAGGGAGCACAGAGTCCCAAATAAGTTGGACCCAAAGACAACTACACCAAGATGCATCATAATTAAAATGTCAAAGGTTAAAGAAAGAATCTTAAAAGCAGCAAGAGAAAAGCAAAGAGTCACCGACAAAGGAGTTCCCGTATAGGAGTATAGTCTTATACTGATTTTTCAAAAGAAATTTTGCAGGTTAGAAGGGATTGGCAAGAAGTATTGAAAGTGATGAAAAGCAAGGACCTACATCCAAAATTACTCTATCCAACAAAGCTATAATTTAAAGTGGAAGGACAGATGAAGTGTTTCACAGACAAGGTAAAACTAAAGGAGTTCATCATCACCAAGCCATTATATGAAATGTTAAAGGGACATACATATAAGAAAATGAAATTCAAAACTATGAACATTAAAATGGCAATAAATTCTCAACTATCAACAGTTGAATCTAAAAAGCAAACAAGCAGAATAGAAACAATCATAGTATGGAGATCATTTGGAGGGTTATTAGCTAGGGGAGGGGAAGGGGGAGAATCGGGAAAAGGTACAGGGATAAAGAAGTACAAATTGGTAGGTACGAAACAGGGTAATGTTAAGGACAGTATAGGAAATGAAGTAGCCAGAGAACTTACATGTATGACCCATGGACTAAGGGCGGGGGGGGGCGGGGGGGATTGTGGGATGGAAGGGGGCTACCAGGCAGAGGGAGGCAAAGGGGGAAAAACTGAGACAACTGACAAAACTGTAGTAGCGTAATCAATAAAATATATTTAGAAAAAAGAAAACACTGAAGACTCGTTGGGGTTTATTTAACATCCTAGTGAAGAAAGTAATACTTAAAACTAATTATCTTCATTTTAATTGTATTTAGGATTTGACCCAGCACATCAACCTGAGCCCCAAACAGCACCATAGTGCTTTGGAAAGCTTGATACAGAAAATTTCAAAAAATGAGACAGCCAACAATGAACTAACACGTTGGGGACTCTATCTGCAGAACGATGTACATAAGGTAACCCAGAAAATGTGATGGGGTAGGAACCAGTGATTTGATCTTTGTGAGACTCAGTGGTAGCTTCCTATCTTATCTTTATTTTAGAGTTGTTTTTTTTTTTTTTTTGGTCCTAGTCATATATCTGAATTTCTTGGACTTAATTTGTCTAGTATTTCTTACAGATTCATTCTCTGTATTTTCCAGGGATCCTAGCTGTTAATTTCCAGTCCATTAGGTAGCAAAAGGGTTATTAACTTAAACGGTACCACATTTTCAGTTTTCCAGCACAAATTACTTTCATAAGCGTGAGTCTGATTCTTTATACTTTTCTAATGTGAGTATTGTTATTCATTGTGTTAAATAGACTTTTATAATGTTTAAAAAACCGTTAAGATTTTTTTGATTATAAAGTATGTTAATGTTTTTTAAAAAACTGAACAGTAGAAGTTATGGAAAGTAAAAATTCTCCATAATTACTTCCCCAGAGGTAATCACTGCTGAGTATGGACTTACTCAGTTTCCTATGATGCATGCCTTATCATTCTTTTCTTTTTTTTCAAAAACAGGATTATAGTTGCAAAATGATTTTAAAGATTGCAAAAATAGTCTATTGTATTGATATATCATCAACCTGATTATCTTCCTATTTTGGGACATTTAGGTCTAACTGATTTGTTATTCTTAACTTTAAGTTGTTCTTTCATTATGTTTATGCTTTTTCCTTTCAAATTTTCCTGTGTATAAAGTAGAATACTAGTTTATGTTCAGCATTAAGAATTTTACCTTTAATTTTCTACTTTCAATTTTTCCCTTAAACTATATTCGAAGATTATGTTCCTGTTCACCTTGAAATTATAATTGTTTTGTACGCATTCTCTGCTTTTAGAAAGACAGCATTTTCTATTCCCTTTCTTGGGAGACCATGTTGGAAGTAACAGGGCAAGTCTGTGTGGGGGAGCTGAGCAATCCCCAGGGAGAACAGTATCAGCGGTTTTCTAGATGGTGTTTGCAGATGGTTCAGATCATAGGTATTTTCTTTCTGTTTAGATTGAAGGACGTGTTCTGCCAATGGAAAGAATTAACTTAAGAAATACTTCATTTATCACATCACAGGAAGTAAACTGGACTAAGGAAGTAACCAGAGACCTTTCCATCTTGACCGTAAGTGACTTTCAGTGTGATGGAGGGAGGACCAATATTCCTGAAATGATGGGAATTAGGAAGGAGGAAGATTTAGTGTCTTCATTTTGAGAGAAAGTTCCAACTGAATTCCCATCCTTAATCATCTACTAAACAGGCTCCCTCAAAGAGAATAAGGTGATGAGTTATTAGAGGTAAGCCCATAGTATTAGAAAAAGAAAATAAATTGCTTCGGTAATTCATGTAGCTCCAGCCTACCACACACTCTTCCTTTCTCTTCCCCCTCTTTCTGCCTGAGGGATTTTGGGAGGTGTTTTTATTCATGAAACAAACAAAATTAAAACAGTTTCCTACCAAGAGAACGAAAGAACAAAATGATGTGTAATTATTTTTAAATATTTTCAGCTAACCTGGTCCTTATGGCCACACATAAAATACACACATTTGTCTCTAAACTTTTTATGGAAATGCAGTACACTTAAAGAAAAAAATTACATGTTTAAGTGTATAGCTTGATGGATTTTCACAAGTTAAATAGACCTGTGTAATCAACACAAAGGGTTAAGGAACAGAACTCCACTAGAGCCCCAGGAGTGCCCCATCCACACTCCTCGTTCCTCCCTGCGTCTCACCCTCACATACCCCTAGAGTAGCCACTACCGTGACTTCAAACAGCATAGATTTGTTTCAGCTGGGGTTTTTTCACATTGAAAGAGTTTATTTAGAAAGTTGCAGAGGTGGGAGAAGTGAGCTGGCTGGGCTGCGTTGGCTCAGGAAAGAAGTTATAGAGGCAAAAGAAAGGCCCCTGGAACTTAGAGAGAGGCAAAAATAATGCCGGGGTTGGGGGGTGGAGAAGAGCTGGAGTGGAAAGGCTCACGTGTGCTCCCCAGAGAGAGAGCTTGTGTTGTTTTGATTGTTTTTGTACTCAAAACCATACAGTGAACATTCTTGTATGTCCAGCTTTGTTTCTTCAACCTTGTATTAGTGAGTTTCACTCATATTGTTAGGTGTAGCTGTAAAGCTTCCATTCTCATTGCCGTATAGTATTCCATGCCCTGTATAGTATTACAAACACATTCGTGTTGGTAATAGGAAGTAGATAAGGCAAGACTCAGGCCAAGAGAGTGAAAAGCAATTTATTTTCTAATAACATCTCTGTGGTGTGAGTTTGGAGCGTTCAAATTATGGGAAGTACTGAAAATAGCCTGTGGTTGTTCCTAGGTCCCCATGCATTTCTGGGCACTCTTTTACCCAAAGAGAGCTATGGACCAGGCCCGAGAACTGGTTAACATGTTAGAGAAGATAGCTGGCCCCATTGGCATGCGCATGAGTCCACCAGCCTGGGTTGAACTAAAGGATGATCGAACTGAGACCTATATCAGAACCATTCAATCCATGCTGAGAGCAGAGGTAATCAATTTAATTTGAGTAGATTTATAGGATGTCTGTTCTAAAATACTTCGAATACTTGATTTTAAATAAACCTTGGTTATCAGTCTGCTGTGATGCTGTTTAGAAACCTGTGTCTTACTCATGTGCATGTGAAATACTGACAAAAATAGCCTTTATGCCTGTCAGTTAATTTCGCTTCTCTTATTCAATGTTGGCACACTCATACTAGTGTTCTGTTCATCACGTAATTGGCTCAGGGAATAGCTGACTTAACTTTGTTTGTTATCTATATAGAACATTTCGTGCTCAGAAAGCAACTTCTTGGGCCGGGTGCCTTCTTGCACGATTCAGTACTGAGCTATTCCAGTTTGCTCTGGCTCTAGATTCAAATTGCTCTAGTGATGAACTTGGCAGGTGGCCCATCAGCTCAGGGCCAATCAGGATCACTGGAGCTGAGCAGATCACAGTCCTCACAACTCAAGTAGTTCAGGCCTGTAGCTCTTATTTGTATGTAAGGGAAACAGAGGAAGAAGATTAAGGAAGAAACAAAAGCAGAGGAAAGTTTTTGGAAGTAATTAGTCCTTCTGGGATCAGTATTAGAATTAGATTAACTTGGTATCCTAACTTTTTGTGTTTGACCCACCACTCTGGGTGTATCCATCTATAGCAGCACACTCCTGTTCTCTTTCTCTTTGTAATTTCCTCCCAACTTCCCATGCCTGCTGTGCTCTGCTATGCAGCCCCCACCCCTGTGCCTGGTCATTGGTAAAGTCTGCCCTGCTTCCATAGGAACAACCCAGTCGGTCACTCCCCCATTTTACAGCCTCTCATATTCTCTTCCTGAGCATGTACTGCCAGCAATTTTCAGGCAGTGATGATATGAATTTCATTCATAATTTGTACCAGATTCAGCTCATTTTGGCATTGCTGTTGCTCTGTAATCTTTATGGCATTCTGTTTTATTATTCTCTTCGTTAGGGGTCACAAACTCAGATGTCTGCTGGAGCCAGATGAGTAACAGACGAGTGGGCCAGGAGGGGACTGTGATGAACTAAAAAGAGTAAACCCCATGACTGCAGACAAAAGTCCAGCTTGTCAAATTGATTTTTTTTTCAATAGAAGCCGAGAACCTAGATTTGCATATATGTGCACTTCCCTATGTTAAAGTGCTAATAATAAAAAAAGAACCTTATGAATCATTTTAGGGACTGAAAAGCCACATCTGTTTGCTAGATCCAAGCCCATAATAGGCTGCCCATGTGCAGCCTGTATTCCACGTGACTTGGGAAGTTTTTTGATGTGATTGCTGGAACGTCCTCTGAGAAGTCTTATCTAATACTGATCTTGATTTCCAATAGACTACTACTGATTTATCTTTAATAGCCGTTTTGGCCAACTTATTTCACTGGAGTGCTACTTTTATTTATTCAGACTTCGAAAGATTCTCTATTTTTAGTGCTGGATCTCTGAAGCAGTGAGGGGTCAAGGGTGCTGATATGGGATGTGCTGCTGGCATTATCATTTCTCTTCTAACCAGAGAGAAAGAGTGCTACGTGTGGATTTGGCAGTAGCTTTATTTTCACCTGCATTTGGCCCTGAATCGTTTCTTGAGGTATTGAATTCCATGTGTCCTCAAAGTTGTGTGATGTGGGTACAATAAGGTGCTTAGTTCACTAAAGAGAGTGGTAAAAACATTGCAGAGAATTGAAAGCAGCATGTAATAAGTAACCTTTGCATATTTTCAAGTCTGGTCCTTTTCCAGGTATCTTAAGCTTCCTAATAAATAAATGAAATACTTAGCTCTCAGTAATTTTTGGTAACATATTACATATCTGTGCAAAGAAGCCCTGGTCCCAACATTCGGTTCAGGGACCCTTTTCTGTATTAGAATGTCCACCACCTCTATTTCAGTCCTCTCTCTGCGTTAAAGGGGCCTTGGCTTACCGGACTCTCAGACGGCCTCTGACTGGAGCCCTGTCAGAGTTCCCAAGCCTGACTTATATATACTTGATCTCCTCTAGGGGAAGATTCAGATGGTCGTGTGCATCATCACAGGCACACGTGACGATCTCTATGGGGCCATTAAAAAGCTGTGCTGTGTGCAGGCTCCAGTGCCTTCACAGGTGAGTGGGAGCCGGGCAGGAGGCGCAGGTGGAAACCAGCCTCCCTTGGGGCTTGAAAAAGAGCGGGTATGTGTGTGCAAAAAGACTGAAGTAACTGTTAGAAGCAGCATGTGTAGGCCCTCCTACAAAACATTCCCCTTATCACAGTAACCTGGAGAAGGCGGGCGGCTGCCTTCGGGTTCACAGATGAGTACTTTGGCGTGTTCAGAGGGTGAGTCTCTATAAGTGGTTTCCCGTGACTGGGTCCTGAGAGTACAGCCTTCACTCAAAGAGGGGAAAGCTGTTTTCATCTGGAGGTTGAAAAAATTTTTACTCTGCATGAGATCTTTTGAAGGTTTTTGCTTGTGTTTTTCAATTTTAGTTTGAGTTTGTATTGTGTGTGTGTGTGTGTGTGCACACGCGCGCGCATGTGCCTAGAAACCCTACAGTTAGAACTATTAATGCAGAGTATATTAGCTGCTAACTGGAGTTTCTCAAACAAATAGAATATATACTTTGGATTGTTTACCTTGTCTGAGAGGTTGACAGTGTCTTCTTTCCCCACACCTTTTGGTCCCTGTGTTATAGGTCATCAATGCCCGAACCATTGGTCAGCCAACCAAGCTTCGGAGTGTGGCACAGAAAATTTTACTTCAGATTAACTGTAAATTAGGTGGTGAGCTCTGGGGAGTGGATATTCCTCTGGTGAGTGATGCTGAGATATGTCTTCATTCAAGTCAGCTCTGCAGAGAATCCTGCCTACCTATTTTCCTTGTGGGGTTAGCCTACTTTCAGTGCTTAGTAGTCTCAATGGAGCTCCTTGCCTGTTTTTGTGTAGACCATGAGCTAAGAATGGTTCTTGCATTTTTTAAATGGTGGAATAAAAGTAAAGCTAATATTTTCTGGAAGATGAAAATTACGTGAAAGTCAGTGGTCAGTGTCCTTAAGTGCAGTTTTATTGGGAGATACTGTACTCCTTTGTGGACTGTTGTGGCTGCTTTTGTGCTGCTGCGGTGGACTGAGTGGTTCCTGTGGAGACATTTGGCTCGCAAAGCTTGAGACCAGTTACCCTCTAGTCCTCCACAGAAAAAGGGTGCTGTCCCTGATCCACATCTATGACTTTGTGTTGTGTGCCTTTCCCAGAAGTTGTTCTTATGTTGCTTTGGGGTTCAGATAGTAATTAAAGATGGTTTTTTTTCATTCACTTTTTGTTTCCTAACAGAAACAGTTAATGGTGATCGGGATGGATGTTTACCATGACCCCAACAGGGGCATGCGCTCCGTGGTCGGCTTCGTGGCGAGCATCAACCTGTAAGCACCTTGCTTCGTGCCACTTTGTTCGGTTACCTCGTCTCAATAGCTAATCTTATTATAAATACAGCCAATATTTTTGAGTATTTCATATTATAGTAAAAGTATACTTTCTTTTATCTAATACATGAAAGTATATTCAACTCCTTCCTCTTACATCTTCCTACAGTATTAGTTTACACGGTCTCTTTATCGAACTTGTCACATGTGTAAGTTTGTTCCCTGGCTGCCGTGCAGTCTCTGTCAGAATGGGGGCTGTGTCTTGTCAGTGGTGTTTTTTTCCCCCTAGAAGTGAAGGGGTTTTTGTTTATTTGTTCTGACTGTAACGTTAAGGCATGCCCATGCAAATACCTGCTGAAATGTAAAAGGGAGTTTTTTTATGGTTTATTTTCTTTTAACCACTATGTCAGGTTTGACGTGTATATACTTTCAGGTTCTCTTCTGTGCACGTGCTGACACACAGAGGTGCTGTGTGTATGCATGTACAGGTGGCACAGTACTTGTATACTGTTCCTCAGCTTGATTTTTGTGCTTAAACGGTATGTTTTGGACATTTCTCCATATCAATACAAGTAATTCTCAACCAGTTGTCTTTAACTCTTGTGGGGAGATGGTTGGGTGCCACAGCACAGTGGGCTTCGCTAGTCCTGTGTTGGTGGGTCTCAGTACTGTCCAGTTTTTTAGGCTGGAAGCATTTTTGTGGCAAGTATCCACAACTATGCCTATATTTTTACATTCTGTGTATGACACACACACACACCAGTCCCAGTGTGTGTCACGTGTGGCTTCTTGCGTAGCATAAATAATTTGCTACCTGTTGTTGCACTGGGGCTTAGAGACGCCCGTGCGTGCCGCCATTCAGGCTGCAGGCCTTCCTCTGTGAGTGTGTGTTCATGCTTTCCTCTTTCTCTCTCCTTACTCCTCCACCCCAGCACCCTCACAAAGTGGTTTTCACGAGTGGTATTCCAGATGCCGCATCAAGAGATTGTGGACAGCCTGAAGCTATGCCTGGTGGGCTCCTTAAAAAAGTTTTATGAGGTGAGGAGAATGGGAATCCTAAAGCTTTGAGGGTTTGAAGGACTGTGTACCTGAGCACTTCCAGAGCCAGTCTGATTTGGTGGGAGGGATCCCACCTTGAAGGTGAGTCTCTTAAGCAAACCAAAGGGTTGGTCATTGCTGAGCAGGCAGCTTGACAGGGCTTTTCTCTGGCTGCTGCTTGTACAGAGCAGCCTACAGAGCTGAATGCTTTCATTTGGTTTGGTAAATAGTGATTATTTCCCAGGTTGTCAGCCTGATGCCTGTAGACAGAGTCTTTTTGCCCTTATCAGGGAGACTGGGGGTAAATTTCAGCAATTAAAGCAGTTTATGGATTTACCCAGCTTTATGGCTGTCATTAGGCGCTGGCTCTTTTCATTTGGGTTCAAGACAAATGCCTCCCTATATATTAGCCACAGAACTCACAGGAATGCTAACCACAGAGAATTGCTGTCATTAAGCTGATACAGGGTCTGGGAAAATGAACAAGCAGAATACTAGGCTTTGTCTTGGCCAGTACATCAAAGCAAGCACTGGTGAGTAACTTTCATTTCTTAGGGTCAGACTTAGGCCTTTGCATGGAGATTAATCAAAAAGAAATTTAATAATTTCATGTGATTAAACTCAGCATCTAGAACTCTTCCTTGTTTCTTTTAGACTAAATGTTTCTTACAGTGTCCTTCAAATAGTTTGATACTGTTTCAGGATTGATTGTAAATTATGTAGAAATAAGTTGAATTTTTGTCTCTAAGGCAGTCCCTGTGATACGTTACTTTGCTGCCAAATTCTACCACACCTTCCTTTTTCTTGTCATTGTTGTTTTCCTTCAAAGTTATGTCTTTTAGGCCCATACTCAAAAGTTCTGTGAAGTCTTTTCCTTTACTCCCTGCCACCCTGGGCCCCTGCCCCTGCGCTTGCCCTTTGCCAGATTTTTATGTTCCTCTCCCAAAGCCCTTAGTTTATATTCTGTGTAGTGATTAGCACATCCTGCCTTATATGAATTTCTTGTATCATTATGTATCTTTCCCTCTGGGTTGTAATTTGCTTGAGCACACTTTGGTTATTGATGGCTGTGTAAGAAATTACTCTAAAACTTAGCAACATGCAGGGAGCATCTGTGGTGTTCACAGGAAGCTGGACGGGGCACAGTGGACTCCAGTTCTTCTCCATGCGGCCGTGCCACAGCTGCTCACTTGGGCGTCCTCACAGCGTGGCGTCTGGGTTCAGTGCGTGAGTGTTCCAGGAGACTGAGAGAGCAGGTGCAAGTCATGTCGCCTTTTATACCTTAGCCTGGAAGGTCATGCAGTGTCACTCCTGCTGCATTCTGTTTGTTGACTAATGTCATTATGAATATGCTGGACATTTGGAGGAGCCAGTGAACCTCAGCTTTGCCAGAGAGGGTGAAAGCACAGTTTATTTACCCTGTCAGGCCCTTAGGAACTCTAACATAAAGATTAAAAAATATAGTTCAAACTTATGGCTTAGAGATTGTTATGGGTTGAATTGTGCCCCCCACCCCAAAAAGATGTTGAAGCCCTACTCATGAATGTAACCTTACTGGAAATAGGGCCTTCGCAGGTGACCCAGTTAAGATGAGGTCACTAGAGTGGGCCCTAATCCAGTGTGACTGTGTCCTTATGAAGAGAGGAGATGGGGACACAGACACACATACATGTAGAGGAAAAGCAATGTGAAGACACAAGGGGGTCACAAAGGAACACCCGAGGCAACCAGGAGCAAGGAGTCATGGAAAAGACTCTCATAGGCTTCAGAAGGAAACAGCCCTGCCAGTGCCTTGACTTTGGACTTCTCGCCTCCAGCCCTGTGGGACGGTACATTTCTGTTGTGTGAGCCACCCTGTTAGTGGGGCTTGGCCACAGGCGCTCTAGCAAGGGAGTACACACCCAGCTTTTGGCACCTGCAGTTGTGGCCTTGATCCAAGAAACACTATACCAGGTAGGAAAAAGAGTGTCACACTGCTGTGGGGGAAAGCAAAGAAAAGTGTGCTGATATCTGCATCCGCCCCACCCTAGCCCCTTCCCTGGGTCCCATAGACCGGGAGAACCCGTCTGGTGGGCCGCCACTCACATGTGGTGTGACTGCACACATGAAAAACTGTGGTAGCCAGCTCTCACACCTTTCTTTCTTCCCTCCATTCCAGACGGAGTGTTTCAGTGGCCCGTCCTAATTCTCCGTCCAACTGTTACTCTGATAATAAAAGTGTGTCCTTTAGTCTGAAGAAATGGGACTTGGTGAGCTAAATTGGTGAAATATTTTCTGCGTTAGTCCTTTTTTAGTATTTTGTGCAGTAGTATCTACCAGTAGGTATGCAAAGCCCCACCCACAAAAGGTGTCTGTTTTTCCCAGGAGCTGTTTGTAGCCCCTGGAGCCTCCAGGGTCAGTGCAGCTTGCCAGCTCTGCGCAGGACCTTTCCTTCGGAGTCTGCCCCGGGGAATGCCGTCTGCATTCTCTGTTTCTCCTCTGGGCACACGGAGCAGTTCTTACTGGTATTTGGCACATGAGAGGGTGCAGGAGACGTATGTCTAGATGCAGCCCACTTCCACATTGCTGCAGCCCCCAGTGTCCACTCACTCATGGGCCGGGTGCCACCTCAGGCAAGTACCCCAGGAGAGTCGCTTGCTGGTTCCAGCCACTTTCTGATCCTGGGACGGGGTAATTAGTCGCCATTCACCTTCCCCCCCTACTTCCTGGTAACATTTACTTTGCATTCTGTTTCTATGAATTTGCTGATTTCAGATCTATTACATAGAAATAATCATAAAATACGTGAACTTTTGTTTTTGGCTTCTTTCATTGAGCATATTTTTAAGGCTCATCTAAGTTGTATATATAAGTACTTTGTTACTTTTCATGGATGAAGAATATTCCACTGTACGTATATTTCACAGTGTTTATCCGTTCATGGTTAATGGACATTTTGACTGTTCCTACCTTTTGACTATACTGTGGCTGCACAGATGCTTGTCTGTGTATTTGTTAGAGTGCCGATTTTCAGTTCTTTTGGGTACATACCTAGGAGTAAAACTGATGGGTCATATGGTAACTCTGTGTTTAACTTTGAAAAACTCCCACACTGGTTTCTACAGTGGCTGCACCATTTTACATTCCTCACAGCCATGTACAAGGGTTCCAGTTTATTCACGTGCTCACTAACACTTTTTACTTTTCATTTTTAAATTAACTTGCATTTCCTTAATGACCAGCGATATTTATATGCTTATTGTCCATTTGTATATTCTCTTTGGCAAAGTCTTTTCAAATCTTTTCCCCACTTTTTAATTGAGCTATTTGTCTTTTTGTTGTTGAGTTATAAGAGGGTTTTTTAAAAAACATTCTGGATACAGAGCCCTTGTTTGATACAAGATTTGCAAATATTTTTGCCTTTTCTGTAGGGTGTCTCACTTTCTTGATAATGTTATTTGATGCACAGAAGTTTTAAATCTTGACAAAGTCCATTTCATTTTTTTCTTATTTTGTTCCTATGCTTTTGGTGTCAAATCTAAGAATCTGTTGCCAAATCTGACTGAGATTTACTCCTGTATTTTCTTTTAACAGTTTCACAGCTTTAGCTTTTATATTTAGGTCATTGATCCATTTGGAGGTAAACTTAATGTGAAATGAGGTACTTTATTCTTTTGTGTACGGTTATCTGCTTGTCTCAGAAGCTCTTGCTGAAGAGACTGTGTTCTCTTTTCATGGTAAAGTATTGGCCTTCTTGTTAAAAATCAATGGGCTGTAGGTGTTTGGATTTCTTTTCTTTTTTTTAAATTCATTTAATAAAATTACATAGGTTTTGGGTATACAACTCTACAATATATCATCTGTATATTGTGTGTTCACCACCCCAAGTCAAGGCTCCTTCTGCACCATTTATCCCTGCTGTACGAGTTTATTTCTGAACTCTAAATTCTATTCCATTGGTCTGCTGTCCATCCTCATGTCAGTAAAATGCTATTTTGATTGCCGTTTCTTTTTAGTTAGTTTTGAAATTGGGAAGTGTGAATCTCCCAGTTTTGTTCCTTTTTTGATACTATTTTAGCTATTTGGGGCCACTTAGAATTCCATATGAATTTGAGTATATGCATTTCCATTTGTGCAAAAAAAGCCATGGAATTTTAATAAGATTTTTATTGAATGTGTAAATGGTTTTGCAAATACTGTCATCTTCATTATACTCAGTCTTGCAATATATGGCCCTAAGGTATCTTTCCATGTATTTAGGTCTGCCTTAATTTTTCAGCAGTGCTTTATAGTTTACATGTAAAAGTATGTTACCACCTTGGTTAAATTTATTTCTAGGTATTTGATTCTCTTGGATGCAATTATAGTTATAAATGAAATGATTTTATTAATGTCACTTTTAAATTGTTCACTACAGGTTTATTGGAATGCAACTTGTTTTAGCATGTAACCCTTAACCCTACAATTTTCTGAATTTATTTATTACCCTTTAAAAAATTCTTTGGAATTTGAAAATTCTTTGGGACAATACAATTACATTATCTGCATATAGAGGTAGTTATACTTCTTTCTTTACAATTTTGATGCCTTTCATTTCTTTTTTTTTTGGCTTAGTTGCTTAGGCTGGAATTTTCAGTACAAGTTTGAATAATAGTGGTGAAAACAGGCATTCTTGTCTTTTTCCTGATCTTAGGGGAACAGTTTCAAGTATTTCACCATTGAGTATATTAACAGTGTGTTTTCCATGAACTTCCTTTATTCTGTTTCCTTCTAATTTCTAATTTGATGAGCGTTTTTATATTAAAAGTGTGTTGGATTTTATCAAATATTTTTTCTGCCTTTTAATTTATAACAGTCTTGTTCAGACTAATACCAATCTAATTTCGGTAATATAAAAAAACTCTGTCCCTGTGTAGTTGTAGTCTCTTTCTCTCTTCCTTTGTTCTAATTCTGTATTATGGTTCTCCGTAGAAACAGAGGCAATAGGGTATTATGTGTGTATAAACAGATTTATTTTAAGG